GAAAGTTCATTTTGCTGCATCAGAGAAGGAAGAAGAGGAAAAGGAGAAGGAGGAGGAAAGGGGGAAGAAGGAGGAGGAGGAGGAGGAGGAGAAGGTGACTCTGAGGACACAGATAAATCAGTCCTTCACCAACCTTCTAAAAGGAGGCAAATGACCAGCTGTCTGCAAGGAATATAAATCCTTCCGTTCCCCACTATCCTGTCAGAGCCGAAGAAGCTTCTTGGATGAACAAGTCCAGCCCAGTTGCCTCCTGAAAAAGCACCTTTGGGACAACCGTGACCTGGATGACTGAGAATCTTTACAGAGGAGGAGAAGGAGAAGGAGAGGAAGAGGAGGAAGAAGAAGAGGAGAAGGAGGAGGGGAAGAAGAAGTAGTAGTAGAGATGGAGGAGGAAGAGGAGGAGGAGGAGAAGAAGAAGAGGAGGAGGAGGAGGGGAAGAAGAACAAGTAGTAGAGATGGAGGAGGAAGAGGAGGAGGAGGGGAAGAAGAAGTAGTAAAGATGGAGGAGGAGGAGAAGAAGAGGAGGAGGAGGGGAAGAAGTAGTAATAAAGAGGGAGGAGGAGGAGGAGGAAGAGAAGAAGAAGAGGAGGAGGAGAAGAGGAGGAGGAGGGGAAGAAGAAGAAGTAGAGATGGAGGAGGAAGAAGAGGAGAAGAAGAGGAGGAGGAGGAGAAGAGGAGGAGGAGGAGGGGAAGAAGAACAAGTAGTAGAGATGGAGGAGGAGTGGAAGAAGAGGAGGAGTGGGGAAGAAGAACAAGTAATAGAGATGGAGGAGGAAGAGGAGGAGGAGAAGAAGAGGTGGAAGAAGAGGAGGAGGAGGAGCAGGAGGGTTGTTGGGTCCTTGGTGCTCTCCGAACTGGATTGTTTTCCTGCAGACATCTCCTTACCGAACTAGGTAACAACATCAGTGTTAGATGGGATGGGGCTTGTGGAGAGGAGGAAGAGGACACGTTTCATAATAGAGGAGGAGGAGAAGCAAAGGAGAAGAAGTAGAAATAAGACATTTTTCATAATAAAGATGGTGGAGGAGGAGGAGGAGAAAAAAATGAGGAGAAGAAGAAAGAAGAGAAATGATAGGAAATGTGTTCATAATAAAGGAGGAGGAGGAGCCTCGTTTCTCTTGCCGAGTGTCTCAGCCTTAACCTGGTCCTCAGAGTTCCTCCCACCGCTCAGCCTTGGGTCTCTCCCCCCACCGTTGCCCTCCCTCCCACACTCTCCTTCCTTTGCTTTCAGAATTCAGGGAAGACCGAAGAAGAATCACCATTTTTACACAAGTAAAAACCCTCCGTTGCCTCCTTTCTTCACTCATGCTTTCTCTTCCACAACCACCGCTCTTCCGGGAGCTTTAAGTGAGTGAGAAAGCAACTGTGGCAAAGTGGAAAGAAATCATGGAAAATCAGGAATCATCGTGGGCTTTATATTCCCATTTCGTTTATGCATTTCTCTCCATCTTTCTTCCCGGGAACTCTGCCAGCTTCTTCCATCCCTTGGTCGGTTTTCGGCTCCCTTCCCTCCTGCCCCAAAGACCCCAAAGGAGCTACAGGAACCATATGCTACCCCCTCCCTGCAAACCCCGGGGTGGTCCTCAGCCGCTTCCAACAGTTGTCTTGTCAGTTTGGCAGAGGGAAAAGTATCATCGAAAACCGCGGAGGACAATCCTATGAATTGCCTTCTGTTGAAAGAGTCTGCCGTTCCATTTGCATTTAAATTCCATTAACAAGCCTTGTGTGAATGCCGGTCAGTGAGATAGAACATAAAAGTTTCACAGATGAATAAAGAAGAAGAAAAGTTACCCAATTTGCTGTCCTGGCTGCCACAACCCCTGTATGAAATTCAGGCTGAGGTTCATCTTCCATTCCTGCTCGGACCATTTTACTCCGAGTCATTATTTTCCATATCTGCATTCTGGAATCCCTCCATAAATTAACATTTTGCATTGAGCGTCAGAGGAGGTCAGAGGAGGCTAGCATGAAACGCGGAAGGAAAGGATGCCTTCCCCATGCCAAATCTAATCCTCCTGGCCCCCATTTGTCCAGAATGGTACAGGGTCTCCTGCATGGGCAGGGGGTTGGACTAGAAGATCTCGAAGGTCCCTTCCAACACTTGTTATTCTATCCTACCCTATCCTATGCTATACTATTCTAGTCTATTCAATGCGATTTCTATTCTACCTCAGTCTACCCTATTCTTTCTACTCTACTATTTTGTATTCTATACTACTCTGTGTAGTCTACTCTATTTCTATTCTACTCTACTCTATTTTTATTCTACCTTATTTCTACTCTACTCTTTCTACTCTATTCTACTCTACTCTGTTTTTATTCTACTCTACTCCATTCTATCTATCATCTATATCTATCTATCTATCTATCTATCTATCTATCTATCTATCTATCTATCTATCTATATCTATCTATCTATCTATCTATCTCTATAGAATCTATAGAATATATATAGGATATATATTCTATATCCTATATATTCTATATAAAACGCAGTGGCTCAGAGGACATGATGGCTCAGTGGCTGAGCTTGTCGACCAGAAAGGTCGGCAGTTCTGCGGTTCAAATCCCGAGCGCCACATAATGGAGTGAGCTCCCGTGACTTGTCCCAGCTTCTGCCAACGTAGCAGTTCGAAAGGACATAAACAATGCAAGTAGAAAAAATAGGGACCACCTTTGGTGGGAAGGGAACAACATTCCGTGTTCCTTTGGCATTTAGTCATGCCGGCCACATGTCCACAGAGACGTCTTTGGACAGCACTGGCTCTTCGGCTTTGAAACAGAGATGGGCACCACCCCCTAGAGTCGGGAACGACTAGCACATATGTGCTATGTATCTGTACCTTTTACTCTATTCTACATCTGAAGATGTTTAGTTTTTCTGCCTTTCTTACATCCTTCATCTAGCTTGACCTTTAGGCCCTACTGTAGATCAGCTTCCAGATGCTATTTTTTTTCCTGGTTTCATCCTTTACCTTATCCTACCATTCCCCCCTCCCCCACCCCCCAAAATACCCCCATCTAAGTTCTCTTGAAGTAAGATATCAAATGGGGCTATTTGGCAAACTTAGCTGGGAAAGAACCCAGCTCTTGATCCATTAATGCCCCCCAGATCTGTTGAGGTACCGGGTAGCCCACCACCCCAACTTGTCACCCAGCTCTCCAAATCCACTTCTTGCAAGGGCATCATTAGAAGGTGACCTCTCTCTTAAAGCTGAACCAGGCCTCCTGAAAGGCGAAGCAATTTGGCTAGAGCCTGGGCTGCAGAAGATTAGCTGCCAATCAATGAAACTTGTGTGAAAAATCAACTCAGTGGCACCAAATATTCCACGCTGGTTCAACTCTCATTCCCCTCCTAGGGAAAAAGTTCATTTGAGCAACTCTAGTTCCAGAATGAGAGTTGCTCTTTTGGCAAAAGGTCCCAGCTTTAAGCTGAAAAATATTCAGCTTTTTTTCATCTTAGACCAGTGTCAGCTGTGTTCAAATGTTCTCTCTCTCTCTCTCTCTCTCTCTCCCTCCCTCCCTCCCTCCCTCCCCACCTCTCTCTCAATTCTCTTTCTCTCATTCTTTCTCTTATTCTCTCTCTCGTTCTCTCTCTCTCTCCATCATTCTCATTCTCTTTCTCTTATTCTCTTTCTCATTTTCTCAGTCTCTTTCACATTCTCTCTGTCTCTCATTCTTTTTCTGTTTCTCTCATTCTTGTTCTCTCTCTTTCTCTTTCCCACTTTCTTTTTGTCTCTTATTCCCATTCTTTTTCTCTCTCTCATTCTTATTCTCTTTGTCATTCTCTCTTTCTGTCTCTCATTCCCATTTTTTCTTTTTCTGTCTCATTCTCTTTTCTTTGTCTCTCATTCTCTTTGTCATTTTCTCTGTCTCTCATTCTTGTTCTCTTTCTTTCTCATTCTCTCTTTCAGTCTCTTATTCCCATTCTTTTTTTTCTTTCTCTTTGTCATTCTCCCTCATTCTCATTCTCTTTCCCATTCTCTCTGTCTGTCTCTCATTCCCATTCTTTCTCTTTCTGTCTCATTCTCGTTTCTTTCTCTCTCATTCACTTTCATTTTCTCTCTCATTCTTTCTCTTTCTCTCTCATTCTTCTTCTCTCTCTCCCCACCCCCATGCTTGAAATGTCCCTTCCTTCAAATGAACTCCATTTCTCATACGGTTGATGTTCTGCTCAACTCTTCACAAAGCATTTGTTCAAAAATAGATTCACTTGTTTTCATGTCATTAACTATGTAGTGTAACTGACCAGAAAAAAAAAACAACAAATTTCAGATGAGTGCTGTACACGCCATTTTTCAGAAACCTAGTGGTTGCTAATGATATATGCCAAAAACTTGTGTTCAGCCTGGCAACCCATCAAACAAACTCTCAAGAAATTAATATTTGATCTCTGGATCAATTGAGATTTCGAGTGGACTTCAGATGTGTTGTTGCGCATTTGTTCAGCACAATTAACTGTATTCCAACACGCGTTATAATGCACCGTTATTTTTGCCTGCAAGAGGTTTTTCCCCCCCCCCCCCTTCATATCGCCAGCCGCTTTAGCAATAGTTCTTGGCCTGTTGAAAGGTGTCAAGGAGAGTAATCTTTTTCTGTGTTTCTCCCGATGAAAACTGCGAACCATTTATCCCTTTGAAAGTTGCTATTCGGCTCCTGTCAATCAAGAGCTGAACTATGTCTACTGTGAAAACTGAGTGGGAGAGTCAGGTCAGAAAGTGGTGTGAAGCAATAAAACCTTTGGAATGGGGTTCATACATCACACAGTTCTGTTAACCGTGGTTTAATGGATAGGTCATCCTTGGCTGGCCATACTCCTGGGTTTGCAAAGCCCAGTGGGCTATTTCCAGGCGAAAGATTACGCCGAAACTTAACAAACCAAAAGAACAATGTAGTTGCAGATGATGATGATGATGATGATGATGATGATGATGATAGTGTTTTCTATAACTCGGGGCAATTTACGGTTTGTAATTTGTGATCTTTCTTTCCCTCAAAAGCCGAGAAGGGAATCCGGTACTTCAAATTGAAGTGGAGCCAACCTCTGAGGTAAGGTCCATGCGATGAGTGGGGGGTGAAACAGAATGAGACTTGGGGTGAGGGTCTCGGTGATCTCCAGCAGTGGTTCGTGAGTTGCTTCATTTTGGGAGGGGGAGGGCTCACGGACCACGCTAGCAACTTTTGATCTGTGCTGCAATTTAATCGTGGTTAAGTGTCACATCCATCTGTCGTTGACCTGGGGTTGGTGGACCAGCTAGCATGGGATCTGTTCTTGCTCACACCGAAATCTCCATGGCCTGGATCCTACCTGATTGCAGAGAAGGATGTCAGGGTGCCAAGTAAGACCCCCCCAATGAAAGAAGACTCCAAGGCTTGAGTTCCCTCAAAGTTCCACTTTAGTAGAGATGTCCTATTGGCACATCTGGGAAAACCTGAATTTGAAAGATTCCAGGTTTTTCCCCCACCCAAGTGAAAGTTCAAGTCCCTGCCCAGCACCCACATGTCCGTCACATGGCCCAATCAATGCACCATCCTAACTGGGGATGCCTCCCAGTCACGCCACCCCAGGTGCAGGGCAAGGTGTCTGTTAGGTAAGCTCCCCGTTGGGAGAGCGAGTGCGTTCAGTGAAGCGTTGTGAGAGTTGTGTTGGAGAACACACAAACCATCATACAGAGACCCTGCAGTTTAAATAGGCTTTTACTTTCGTGGAAATAGAGGTATCAGAGTCCATCAAACAGTCCAAGTCATACACAGATAAGACAGCCAGTCATAAATGTCTTTCAGTTAAGAGATAATCCATCCATCCATCCATCCATCCATCCATCCATCCATCCATCC